GGGAGAAGCACAGGTCCATGGTTACAGTTATTTAAATTATTTTAGTCCTAGCTGTGTTTGTAGTATGTACACATGTAATAAAAAATAACGTTTGGGTTTTTCCATTCATTTTATTAGGATTTTCTATTTTTAGGATTAAGGGTTCCTTTGGATGGTTTAGTTTTCATTTTTAACTGTTGCTGGGATGGTGGAATTTGAAATCTAGAGATTGAGAAGTAAGGAAATTGGTGAAGAATATTTTGACAGGTGGAGATACCAATAAGTTTTATGGAAATATCACTGTTTGGTGGATGTCATAGTAGTTACTAGTAAGAATAACATGTTAGTGATAATGATGGATGGTGAATAAGTATAGAGCTATGGATGGCAACAGTTGTTCTAAATGGTGGGCATGTGATGGTGTTTGTGGCAACGCTGCTTGATAATCAAGAATAGTGGTAATGAAGGTAGCTGTTGATTAGGTTGGAAATGGCAGAGGTTTTAGAGCCTGATGGAAGAAGTGCCAGGTGATGATTTCAGCTATTATGGTCCTAGATGTTTCTGTAGTACATTAATCTAGAATTAAGGAATCAGGATTATGTACAAGTATTTCTTAGTGTTTATGTCAAGCATAAACTATTTTTCATCATTTTCCAACTAAATCTTAAGATATTATATGGTTGGCAAGTTGATCTAGCCCTTAATTTAATTTTTCAGAGTAGCCTCAATTTTATTATATTTGTAATCGTATGATAATTAATAAATCCAGCAACCATGATGATTTTCATGAGGTAGGAGCATCCTGAAAACCAGGGAAAGTGAAAAAAGGCACCCCTAAGATTCCAACGAATGACTAAAGATGAAATAATTGTAGCCAACAGAATATTCAGGAATTAGGACTGTAGCACAAAACGTAGCTAGAGAATCAGCCTCTCCCTTGGTTGCTTGGGTAATCCAGATTCACCTTATATCCATCTTGTATTTTGGAGCTTTTGCATTGTGAACTAAATATTTTAAATGCCGCAAGCTCTCAGCATTTGTCATGGCCAAAAACATCAGAATCACTCTCTATCTAAATTATGAAATAATACCATCAGAACCCATCCTTATAAATGATGGGCATTTGTGGTAGCTAGTGTCAGAAGGAACTGTATTTTTTCAACCATTCTCCATTTAGTGTGTATTCCATATCTATTTATTGTGGATTTCCTATAGCAGCATTTAAAATGAACCATAATTTTTCACATTATAGATACCTGCTACATGAACTGGTAGCTCAAACAAACCACGAGGATTATCCTAGAAGGAATCCCTTTAAAGGAATGGTTGTTGCTGCCTTGAGAGTTTAGGGGCCTGCCATCCCATAGGACATTAAAAAGTTATAAGCTCCAAGTGTCCATTAACTTTTCTAACAAGCCAAATCATTCTTTGAGGAGCAAGTACTTTGTACCACCTTGCCTCCGGTTGACTGTTGAATTGCTTTACTTGGAGCTTATCTATGTTTTGAGAGGTTGACATGTATATAATTGTAATACCTGCATCTAGAGTCTAACCTCTTTAATGTTTTTTGCCTTCCAGGACTCATTATATGGTGCAGGATATATGGTTGCATTTGCTGGTCGCAAATATGCTGCAAGATCCCTTCCTGCTTTTGTTGCTAACAGTACATACACTGTAACGAGCTTTACCCTTGTAAGGGATTTATGAGAAGCCATTTCTTCATGTCATGAAAATTACCTTAATGAATTTCTCTGCAAACTGATAAAATTGTCTGTGCAGGTGCTTGAGTTTAACAAGGGCAGGCTGCAAAACCTATATTGGAAAAGAGATGGCTGTGCTAAATGTGTGGGGGACTCTACCCTTGTATGTCTCAACAACCAAGACTGTGCAATCAAAACATCCAACTGCAAAAACCATGGTGGAAATGTAGATTGTAGCCTTGGGATACAATTAGCATTCTCTGGCACAGATAAACACCTTTCAGTTCTGAACTCGTGGTATGAAGTGGAGAACCTTCGACAGTACTCCCTGTATGGCCTTTATTCAAATCTTAAGGATTCCCTCACTAGCCAGTATAGCAATATCTTCTAATTGTCCTTCTCATGGTTGATTGATCTCTTGCTACTCGTATGTTGTAACTCTTCTTCACTTTCTGTCTTGTTGATTTGACATACACTTCTGTTTCCCTGTTCGCTCTGTCTGGATGCTTCTCCATGCAGTTAACTTGATAGTGTCAAAAGATTTGCACTGCGTAAATTATGTACAATAACTCTAACATTATGGATAGCGAATTGTAGGGTCTCATCTGGTGCAGTAGATATTGATTCCATATGAAGCACTTTTAGTTTGTCTTATTCTTTATGTTAATAATTAGTTTCTAATGGTTTCATGATCTGTTAGAACCATGGATTTTCATAAACTCTCTTCCACCAGAAGTATATCAATAGACTGTTATTTGCTTATATCTGTTGATTATGATGGTCCTTTATTTGCCTGTTTCGTGGATAGACAAACAATATGTTTCTTAAAACTGCAATGGTTCATTGAAAATTATGCAAATAATAGGATCCCAATATAGCAATTCGCCAACAAGACCTTGATGATTGTAGATCATTCCTATGCCAAATTTGTCTCTAAGCATGTCATCGGCTTACAGTGTGCATACATCAAATGGCATTCTGGCCTTTGTTTAATCTTTCACAATGACAGCAGCTTGTGCTGTCTCTGTGCTCTGTAATTTTTAGTTTGTTTTCAGAGGTTACTTCTGTTAAACTGTATTGATGGTGATGAAAACATACCAGAAAGCATTCAGTGCGACCAGAGAATCAGATTCGGTTATAATATTCAAGTAACCTTTGTTCTGGCAGATCCGATTCCATCTATCCCACCCTCCCGTGTGAATATTGCCTTAAGAGTCCATTTCCATTAATCTTTTTTTATTTGAGAAATAGAGATTATTATTGAAAAAAAAAAAAGAAGAGATTATATCAAAATTTCTATAACATAGCACTATAGCCTAGGACAGATATGTAATCTACAACATTAGTTATAAATTTAAATTATACTTATAATGAATCTAGATAATTAAGTAAATAAGGCTATGAATGTGGAAAGAAAGCATTGTTGTAAAAAGCTTGCTTAGGTAGTGTCATTCTACCTGCATCAGTTTTGGTTCTAGGCGATGTTATTTCGCCTATAGAAATTTAATGCGGTTTGCATCATCCAGATTAATTAAGTATGTCCAAGCATATTATTAGGCATGCTTAATGGCACCTAGAGTGCTTGAATAAATGTTTTTTATTAATTTTTTAACCTAATGAAATGATGTTGTTTAATTTATTATAAAAATGATATTAAAAAAAATTAAATGTCAAGTAATTCTTTTAAATTTTGCACTTTAAACATAATAATAAATAAAAAAATGTTTAATTTTTTTATTTACTTCATAATTTTTAAAATTATCTTATATTATTTTTTCTTATTCTCTTAGAATTATATCAAAAAAATATTATTAAAAAAAAAACCACCTAGGCATTCTAGGCTCTAAGTTGTGTGCAACTGCCTACCACGTCTTATGCTTTTTACAACCTTGAAAGAAAATTACTATGAGTACTTTAAATTACTAGACGGTCACACGTACTATTGGGTTATCTTCACTTATTGATAGCCCTACCATATCCATGGAGCAATTACTCCAGCGCGAAAAGAGTACCCCAACCTTCCCAATCATAAACAATTAATTAAAAAAGCCTGGGATTAATCATAATCTCCATCGTTGGAAACAACACCTTCACCTTTGAACTTGATGGCCTATCACCAACCTTAGACTGCTCTATCATTTTAAGCCTTGCTGCAATCCTAGGTGAGCACTTAAACAGCCCACGCGAGAGGTTGCTAGCCCTCATATTATCATCCCATCGTGGGACTTGGTCCTTCCTCCGCCAATTGATACTCAAAATCCTCAAGTAGTCTGCAGCCCTTAAACACATGATTGAGGATGTCTGCGAGAACCTTGCGCTGCCAACAAGATCCCCTCCAAGGCCATTACAATTCCAAGCCAATATTCGCCTTTGAGTGATGAAGATAATAGGAGGGACATGGAAGTAAGAAAAAGGGGAGGAGGTCCTTCAAACAGGGAGTTGCACCTAAGCGAGTTACTCGCCTGCGGAAGAGGGAAAACCCTAGTAGTAGCGGCAAGAGGACTGAAGAAAGGATATGTTTTTCCCATCTCCATTAATCTTATAATCACGTCAACAAGAGGACTTTGCCACATTTCTAAAATAGGTGCAGCTAGTATACAACGTTTCGTGGAACTACCTCGACATTAGGCTGAGCGCAAGTCCTACACCAAGCCAGGAAAATTTGCATTATGGTCCATTTAAGCCTAAACAATTTTGGAAGAACTACAAATGAAAATATAAATAGTTTTTCTAATAAACGACAATTAACATTGTTTTTTTATTTAATAAACAAAGAAAATAGAAGAGGAGGCTCCACAGCCTATTCAGGAATCTCACACATTCATTCCTCAAACTAATTGTACATATTTTTCACTCACTTCTTCAAATTAAAAAGTATAAATCAATTAGTGTGTTAAATGTTTCCTTAATCTAAGTTGAATCATTGTCTCGTATTTCCCTGTATTTAATTGTCTCATCTTTGCCGCAGGTTCAGATGGGATAGGTGAAATACCGCCTTCCGCCAGACACACTGAACAAATTCACGTTTGCACACATAATGAAGGACGAGAGTTCTGTTTCCCTTACACACGCAAAAGTAAAACACTACAGGGGCGTGTTGGGTTACAGAGTCAACTTTATTTTGAAAATTTTTATTAAAAAAATAGTTAGAAAAATATTATATGAAAAGTTGATAAATACTAGGGAAAGTTAATAAGTTTTGTACTAAAATTTTGTTAAAATTTTATTGGGTTATTAATTTTTTTTATATTTAGTGAAAAATTGGTATAAAAAAAGTTAATAAGAAAGTTATCAGATAAGTCTTACATATATATGGTATATAGTGAAAGTTGAGGGAAAACTTTTTCCTTTCAAAAAAGTGTAAGAAGAAAAGTTTATAAATGAGGAATTATGTTAGAAAAAATGAAGGTTAAAATGTTATTTTTACCCTTATTTTGTTATACTTCCTCCATGTCAAAATAATAGACGTTTTTTAATTTAGAATTTATCATAGAATAATAGTGTTTTTTCCTATTTTAAAAGAGGTAAATATTTTTTTTACTTTAATTTTATTATTATCTCTTAACTTTAATTATTTATTCTTTGGTAAAAATAATTTTTTATTTTTATTTATTTTTTAAAGATTAAGTAAAAATAGACATTATCTTTAAATCCTTAATTTGAAGATAAAATGAAAAAAAATGTCTATTATTTAGAGATGAAAGAAATAATATTAATGTATAAAAATATATAAATAACCTCATTCTAAAGAAAGTTAAAAAAAAAAAAAAATTGAAAGAGAAAAGTGAGTCTGCAACCGAACACCCCAAACATGGGAAAGCTAGAGCAAAATGTGAATTTTGCTATGAATAATGTGCAAAATTAGATATGCAAAAATGTTCTGTGTACATTGCCGAATTATAAAAAACTAACTATTAATTTTAATATTTACTGTTTGAATGGAAAAACATGAGATTCTTAATTAATTAACAGTTAAAATTAGAAGTATTCATATCCGATCTAATTCGATTTATTCGATCCAAACTAACCTAATTCAATAAAAAATAAACCAAACCAATATAAAATTGAGTTTATTTGAATTATAAAATTCTAAAACCCATATAATTGATTCAATTTGTAATTTTATTTTTAAATCACTCGAACCGTTTGATTATAAAATAAAACCTAATTACATAATAACTTAATTAAATAATATAATACATTTTTTGTAGTATTTAAATTTTCTTTTTCTTGTTTTACAAGATAATAACTTTATGAACTTAATTGAAAAATAAAAATAGAACATCTCCATATTTCTTAATTTATTTTTCCTTCTTAATTGTGCACTCTAACTCTATTTTAAAATTTTTAATTTACTTGCAACTCTATCACTCAAAATTGATTTACATCTCTAGAACCATAAATTTCTAATTTGTTCCTAAAATGACATTTTAATTCTTCTAACTAAGTTTAAAGAAGTATTGTTTTAGAATTCTTCAAACTACATACTAGATTTAGTCTTGATATTTTACTATTCTCATATGTTTAGTTGAGAAGTTTTAAATCTTGATTATGAATATTACTAAATTTTATTTGCTTTTAACAAGGTTTGAAAGATGAGATTGAATAATTGGTACATTAAAAAAAATTGCTAGTTTAACCTTTAAAAATTACTTACACTGCACTTGAAACTTGGAGTCATTTTTTATTGTTCTTGGTGTCTTTGGGGGTGTAGCCAAGAAGAAAATTTAGACCTTTTCAATCTTTATAATTGTAAAGGATTATAAGAATTAATTTATAATTTATGCTTTTTATTATATTTCTATTGATTTGGATGTTAATGTGTTTTATAGTTATGTTTTTTACTTGATGTTGAATTTCTTACATTATCTCATATATTTAATAGTGTTAAAAACCGATTAATTCAACTAAGCTATATCAATCAATTTTTTAACAAGTCTTGAAAGATGGGATTGAATCATTGAATCATTGGTACATTAAGAAAAACAACTAGTTTAACATTTAAGAATTACTTAAACTGCACTTGAAACTTAGAGTCATCTTTTATTGTTCTTAGTGCCTTTGGTGATGTAGCCAAAAGAATTTATAAACCTTTTCAATCTTTACAATTGTGAAGAGTATAAGAACTTATTTATAATTTATACTTTTTATTATTTGTCTACTGATTTAGATGTTAATGTATTTTATAATTATATTTTTACTTGATGTTGAATTTTTTACATTATCTCATATATTTAATAGTGTTAAAAACCAATCAATTTGACTAAACTATACCAATCCGATTTAAGTTGAATTGGTTTGGTTATTATATAATAGTGGATTGGATTGGTTTAAAAATTTTATTAACCAATTAAATTGGATTGTTTAAAA